GTCGCATGGAGGAGGTGGGCGGTTCAACCCTAAACCCTGCAATATTGGTCCATGCTATAACTAGGCTATAACAATTGTCATGGTCACTGTCTCGATCAGGTTTGTGAAGTGCGGTCAACCCGCCAGCCTGAGGAATGCGGGAACAAGTACCCGAAATCTTCCAGTGGCATGGCGCCCAGTGAACAACTGAGCGTGCTCCCTACGTGGGAAGACTTGGTATGCTCGTTTTGCAGTTCGGGGTTTTGGGGCTTCTTCTTTGTGTCTTGATTTTTTTGTTGTCTTCTTTTTTTTTGGGCGGGGGGGGAGGTTCGAACGTCACAAAGGCATAAAGAGCTGCCTCTCCACCAGCCACAGAACGCTCCAGTAGTTCCAGCACCTTCCGGAGTATCATTTTTCAAGATTGCCTGAACAATGCTGGAAGAAAACAGCAATAAAAGTGACACTGAGAAAACCTCAAGCTGATGTCATGTTGCCTCAGATTTCAGACCTCAAGATACTGCACGGAGAGAAACTAAACGGAGACGCCCGGGCACAGTATGTAGGCATGCGAGATGGAGGATTTCGGATGTGAGGACTATGTTGCAGGCTTCTTCCCTAAGCCCTAAACCCTGAACCCTGAACCCTAAACCCTAAACGAATGGCAACACTGTGGGGCCACAACCTTCGGCAAAGGAAGGGTATGGTCAAGGTGACCGCGCTGCCCTCCAGCGGGGCGGAGGGGGGGCTGTCAGCCTTCCGGACCCCGATATCTAAACCCCCGCTTCAGTTCCTTGCAAGGGTTTAGGGTTTAGGGTTTAGGGTTTAGGGTTTGGGGTTTGGGGTTTCGGGTTTAGGGTTTAGGAATAGGAACTCTTTCAGATATGGTGATCTGGGTGGATGTGGGCAGGCAGGGTGCTTCTGCCCAGGGTGCTAATTCTCCCTTCTGAAAGTCATCAGGAACCTCCTTCTGGCAAAGGTCTCTGGCCAGCGATCAGAAACCTGGTGATTTTGTCTTGCTACACTGAAACCCCTAGGTATACTGCAAGCTCTAGAACACCTGAACCCCAAGAGTATGTCCTAGAGCCAATCTCTCCGCCGCACCTCGTCGCAGCCCACAGGCCCCCCAGTTCCTGCTTCCGAGGCGACCACCTCCTCCAGACCCTGTCCGGAAACTGCTTAGGGATGTGTAGGGTGCCCCCCCCATATACTAACAGTCCTCAATACGGATTTGCAGTCGCCCCTATTACAAGCCTTATTCACATCCCAAGGTTTAGGGTGTAAGGTGGAAGGTTTAGGGCCCTAAGGGTTTTTGGGTGTCAAGACTCGACAAGCACAGCTAATGATTCGCCACTGTGCTTCGGCAGATTGGCCATGGCTAAACCTATGCTCCCCTTAGAACCTTGGTAAAAATAGTTGCTTTAATATACTCTTGGGTTGTATATAAACAAAGATCAAAAAACAATGATAATTCCCAAGGGGGATATAGACACTGGTAGCACTGTTTTGCCTGTCCTGCTTATCCCACTCAAGACCATCCGATGGGCACGAGGCAGAAACCTTACACCCCAACCCTCATCCAGCAAACTCAACCAAACCAAAGAAAATCACAAGTCTTTCCGATACCATGATTAGACCTTCTCATGGTGTCCATGCCTCTTGAATCTGCTGCGCCTCCTCAGGCGGCAGCCTTCACGGATTCCAGAATTTTCAAAAGGGGTCCGGGTCATCGCAGTTTTACATGGGCCATCAACCCTGCGAATAAACCCAGGGCCTAGGCCCAAAGCTTGGACCCTTCGCAACTTTTGCTTGATCATGCTTCCAGGTGAGCTCACGCCAAACTAAAAACACTCCAGAGGTTAAAAGCCATCCAGGGCAAAGCGACCAAGGACTTGCAGCCCTCAACGCCCAAGAGCCAAGCTGGGGCCGGGAAGTCTTCTCGCTGTCCTGCGGCAGATTTAGGAGCTCTGGCTTCGATGCGCCGTTGCACCTGGAACTTGGGGACACATTTGGCACGTACAACGTCTGCAAATGGAGCGACTACTGCTTCTCAAAACAGCTCTAATGCAACCTTATAACACTTATCACGGAAAATGAGTGAATGCACCCCTTTTGAAATCGAAAGGTCGAAAGGCCATTGGCCTTTGCAGCTCGTTCTGCCAGGAGAACAGCCTCATCAGGGTCTGTGAAGATGTCGAAGCCGTCAGCCTGCACTGGGGGAATACGGGCGACCCTGCCACAGCGCAGCATGACAACAGCCTGGTGGTATTGCCTGTCCAGCCTGAAAGTAAAACGAGTAAGCCCGTGCCTCATGCTTCTTGCACAAGATTTCGGGAACCGAGTATCGCCTGCGCAAAGCTCACTGCACAGCTGCAACAAAGAGCTCAGCTGGGCTTGGCAGGGTCGGAGCTGTGGCAGCTGCATCCGCCGACTCAATGCTGCTAGGAGCATCTGAGGGTTGTCCGGGTAGACGAACCCCGTTGCACAGGTAGAGGATGATTCTCACGATCGTTTCGCCTCTGCCCACCCTGCCTTGTCAGACCGTTCTCAATTCTCAGCTTGCCGCGGTTCTTCCGAAGCCACTGAGCGTCTGCCAGTAGTTCAGCATGCACCTGGCTTCAATCCGTATCCACAGCTCTGCCAGCCAAACGGAAACAACACACACACAAACTGACTAACTATTCTGCTCGACATGGCAACCTCTGCCACGCGTCATGAGCATGCGCTGCAACTGCTCGGGCAGCCTCCGCTATATAACGGAGCACTTCTTGCTGATCTTCAGCATAGAAGTTTCCGACACGAACTGCCTGCCAGTCTGCGAAAACGCTTTCTCCAAGTGATCTCGCCAAGGTACGACGGTGTAGTTTGTTGGCAGCACGCGCGTCAGTTGGCACTGCATGGGATGTGTGTGTGCCAGACCTCCAACGCAATATTTCGCAGCCTTGGATGCAGTTGATGCCCATGAACCTTCGGGTCTAGGATTTCGGGTTTAGGGGCTTAGAGGACTCTGCACGAGCCATGCGAATACAATCTCCAGTAAGCCGCGGGCATCTCTCTACACTTCCAAACAGCTGAGGGGCGAGCGCTGTCTCAGGCAGATCAAGATCAAGACCCGGTGCACGAGGAGGGGCTTGGGCAGGAACCTCAGGATAAATACTGCCCCACAGACAGCGACAAACTGGTCAACTAGTCTTCTTGCAGGAGATCTGTCCTAGCAACTCACAGGCGCATGTACGGTGACAGCTGGATCCACACCACGTCACAACCGCATCCACAACTCGAACAAGTCACAGCCGACTTTGCTTGACACACAACGACCGCCGAGCTGGCCTTCGTGGTCCGGTGGCGCTTCCGCTTCAGCACGCGCAACCTGAACTTGAAGTCTGCTTCGGGCTTTGGTGTTTGGACTGGATTCCAGGAGTTCGGGTGTTCTCAGGTGTGTATGGTATCCTGATATGTAGTACATAATATTTACTGGCTGAGTATAAAACACATGATATACCATATATAACCTGCAATATGCATAATTTGATACAATACGGAATATGCTATATGTACTATTTATGGTATATTCTGGGGTAAATACTGTATATTTATCTACTACACATGATTTCGGTACTTGCAAAAATAGAGGGAACCCTTCATACCCAAAATTGTGTAATTTTAATCCTCAGTATAGGAACCCCCAAAAAGGGTACCCTATTTTCGGAAACTACCCTAAACCCTAAACCCTAACCCCTAAACCCTAAACCTAAACCCTAAACCCTAAACCCATTGGGCCCTAGCTGGGGTGCGCGCCGGCGAAGCGGCGGAGGCCGATGGAGCCGAAGCCGCCAGAGGCCCATGGGGCAGGTGCTGGGGAGCGCACAAACGTCCCCGGGATTCGGGAGGGTTTAGGGGTTTAGGGTTTAGGGTTTAGGGCTTAGGGTTTAGGGTTTAGGGTTTAGGGTTTGGGGGTTAGGGTTTAGGGTTTAGGGTTTAGGGTTTAGGGTTTAGGGGGTTTAGGGTTTAGGGAGTTTCGGGTTTCGGAACGAATGGAGCGAAAATGGGAAGTCTAGGGTGTTTTGGTTTAGGATGTTTAGGATGAGTGGTTGGGGAGTGTATAGAAGTCTTTGTCAACTTGCATATTCTATATACATATATATATATATATATATACCTATATATACATATATATATAGATATGTAGATATATATATATCCAAATATACAGAGATGTAGGGGTTGCACGGAGGTTTCGGGATTCTTGGGGTTCCTGAGTCCAGTTGCAGGACTGGCCGTCACGAGCTCGAATGCCGACAGCCCATCGACATTTTTGACATGGCAGCCACTTTCCGCGTGCTGGCAAGAATGCTGCAAACTTCGGCACGAGACATCCCGTGACATGACTCTGTAATCACTATACCTCTCAACACCTCTCAGGCCCTTCCTGAAGTTCGACATCAGAACCCCGTAGCCACTTGAACCCTCTTGAATCCTGTAAACCCATCCCCTGCCCGCACTGCCCCCCGCAGAAGTTGTCGGCGCTCGGCACGCGCACTTTTCTAGCTTGGCCAACTACTGCGTCCGCGCACGCTTGCAGGGCCGCAGCAGCCCTGCAGTGTCATCAAGCCTCCTCGCCTGGCCAGAAACAAAAGGCCCTTGCATAGTTGATCCTTGCATGGTTGATGATGAAACCGTCTGCAACAAGGGACAGATATCATTGATATCATGGATCAACCCCAAGCTTTAGCCCCAAGCAGCAATTATCATTGGCGCTACTACTATTGTGATACTATTACAATTATTGTTCTTATTAATGCTGTTATAGTTCTTGTTATTCTGATTATGGCCCCACGCGCAGATGGGCAGCGAAGAAGTCCGAGGCCACGGTGTCCTGGTGTGCTGGACGGGGGGGCTTTTGGGTGGCTTGAGACGGTCTCGTCTTCCAAAGCATCTCGCGAGTAATATATGACATTCTAGCCTATTTGATTTGATACATTGCAGATTCTACATATATATATATACATATGTATACATATGTATAGAAACGGTATAAAACTTTAAGCAGAGAGGTCCTCGCCCTCCCATCTCACCTTGTAGCGCCCATCCTTCTGACGTCTCACGATCCTGATGGCGAAATGACGTTCACAACTCCGACCTACGGTGCACAACTTGAAGGGCTGCGGGTGGACCAAATATATTCACAAGTCGCATCAACACGAACTTTTGTGGACCATGCGATGCTACTCGCAAGCCGCCGGGCTGGCCGAGCTGTTTCTAGCTTTTTCATGGACGATGCTGCGAATCCAGCAGCTTGCATAGCGGAAGCTGCTCAGCTGTTGCCCAAAATGCAATAGCTGGGGGGCCTGCCTTGCAGCGTACCAGTAACCATCCTGTCACCACTGAGTGCGATTGCTCAGCCGCGGCTTCATGTCGTAGTGTCTTACGGCTTTCCAAGGCCAACTCGGTTTCGAGCCGAGCACGCACTGACTTCACAACGATCGGGACGCTGAAATGCGCTTGACCGTGCCAGATACAAGTGCAGATGCCCACTTCATGCCTCCCACAGAGCTTCCACCTGCCGGCAGAAAGAGCATGGTGAAACTACATGAAGAAGATTACGATGGTGCGAAGAGGCTGGGGTCAGCGAGGAGATGACCAGAAGCCGGTAGTCTACAGTTACTAGCCCCGATTTCATTGACAGTGATTGCCTGGAGCTCAGGCCAAGGAATGCACGTTGTGCAAACGCATCAATGCTACATGCTCCTAGCTAATACACTTCTAGCATTGCCAGCTCACAAACAAGAACTGCAGTCCGCAACAGGACTGCCTGTCAAGGGCGACTTATCACTGCGAAAAAGCACACGGAGATCACGGGAGGAGGAGGTGGGAGGAGGAGACGGAGGAAGAAGGAGAGGAGAGTAGAACCGATCGTCGTTACCATCATGATTGGCATCCTCGTCCTCTCCGTCGTTTTCAGCAAGAAGGGTAGTCACGATATCTTTCAGTGGCAAGGCACTGAAACAGACTCAGCAGGGCCTCTGCATCCTGCCGCCAAGCGCTGGGCGCAGCAGGCCTCTTCAGTGGGGCCTGTCACGTGGCAAAGTGGCTGCAGAAGCAAAAACAGAATGGAGGACTCATGGAAGTCTTCCTTCACGCTAGGGTGCTACCGTACTCCCGTCATGGCACCCATCTGTCACTACAAAGGATCTCCTATAGGGTCCACGAATTGCCTACAAAGGCTGCCTTGGCGAATCCAGAATTACCACGTGTCCCCCTTGACATTTCCAGAGACAAGGCGATGGCCTCCTCAATTGGCCACACATACCATAGCAGGTCCTGGAGAGCGAAACTATCAAAATCAAGCTTCGGAGCCCACAGCTAGGTAGAGGAAATAGCAAGCGATGTCAGAAGCCTGCGAAGCACGGCCGTCAGCGTGGAGTGCCCGCCAGCCCTCATTTCACAAGCTATGAGAACATGTTGCCATCACTAGTGCAGCAGCACTATCATTGCGAACTCGCAGAGAAGGATCTGCATGCAATGTGCCTCCTTTCCATTCATTCTCAGAGCGCCTACTAAGCCCCGGCCGCAGGCGTCAAGGGCTCCCAATGGGGACCCCATGTTTCCTCACCTCTGATCCCCTCCCAAAAAAATCCACAACTCCTGATGAAGGCACTCCGCCCACTCAAATTCCGTGAATTGAGGGAGGGGTTGTAATTGAATTGCAAACCCTGGGCCCGAACTGTCCCCCTCACCACTCCAGACTACAGCTTTTAGGAGTTTAGGGCTTTAGGAGCTTAGGAGCTTAGCCGATTCTTTCCAGCAGACTTGAGGATGGGCTTCAACAATCCGAAACGCCGAGACTCCTCTGCTGTCCGCCCGGGCCGAAGCAGCATTTCACAGCTATTCTCCCCACATCAGGGGAACCAAAGGAGGGACCCTTAACAAGGGACCTTACGGGTTATTTGGGGATCATTTACCCCTTAACCATAGTAGTTGGCCCTTGAACCCTAAACCCCAAGCCCTAAACCCTAAGCCCTAAACCCTAAACCCTAAACCCTCAACCCTAAACCCTAAACCCCCGAGGGAAGCTCTGATTCCAAGCCCAGCGGCCCGCGCGGAACAGAGCTGGACCGTGCAGGTGCTGGACCAGGGACTGCCCTCGGAGGTTTAGGGTTTAGGGTTTGGGGTGTGGGGTTTGGGGTTTGGGGTTTGGGGATTGGGGTTTAGGGGTTAGGGTTTAGGGTTTAGGGTTAGGGTTTAGGCCCATTCAACCAAAAAGTCCCTTCAAAGCCCCTTTCAAATGAAGGCTCAAGTGTGGTAGGGGATCAGAGCTGAATGTAGGGAGCTTGAGACGCTTTGAGAACCATCAGCACTTCAGCGTTTAGCCGAGCCGTGGAGAACCTTGTTTTGCCAAGCGACCTTCCGAGTCGCACTCCCGCAGTGCAACACTTCGCTGTCCAGGACTAAACTTGGGCTTTGGACCTGGGACAGGCTGTCATAGTGCCATCCCTCCACCGACCCCTCAGTGAATGCAGTGTGGACGATCTTGGTGGTACAGCAGTCGCGGCGGCTGGGCTTCCACAAGAAGTGATGGAAGCGGCCAAGGCCCTCCTTCCGTGGCCGCGATGGCTCCTCCTCCCAGGACAAGATGTCAGCATGCAGCGTTTGCTCGTTGGAGCCTTCCGGCACCATGGTCCAGCCCAGCTCAGTGATCCAAGGCTGAAGGCGATCTCGCGGCCGCGGCCACAGCAGCTCCTCCACGTCTTTGGGCGGCCTGGGAGCCGGCAGACCTTTGTTGATGGCCGAGGGAACGATGGAGATGTAAAACCGTGGCCCGGTCCAGTTATCCTCATCGTCGACGGAAGGGTGCACCGCAGAGACATAAAGGCCATCGTCCTCTAACTTCTTGCTGACTTCCCACGCAGCTGCAGTTCCTGGCCGCTCGTCCCCATCTTCGGTCCAGCTTCCGCGGGTCTCCTCGAGCAAGGAGGCCACGCGTGAGTGAAACTGCCAGTAGTACTGCTCCTTGGCCACATGAGTGAGATGATCAAAGATCAAACACAACCCTAAACCCTAAACCCTAAACCCCATACGGCGCGGCATGGCGCGGCTGTATGGAGTTCTACACTGCCGCTCAGCGTCAACCAGCAAGCAAACCTCCCACGAGGGGCGCCGAGGAAGCTCTAGGCAGCCCTCCTTGCTCACACAAGCAGTGGTTTAGGGTTTAGGGTTTAGGGCTTAGGGTTTAGGGTTTATTGTTTAGGGTTCAGGGTTCAGGGTTTAGGGCACAGGCATTATTTAGCTTGCATGTCGGCACGAACCTGCTTCAAAACTGCACGACGGTCACACTAACACTCGCCCCGGGTGTCCTCATGCAACTTTCGCCTGTCTTCGTCTGAAACGCTACCATCACTCATGTCACCCTGTTCACAGGATCTTTGTAGTATCCAGGGAGTGTATCAAGTCAGGGCTGACAAATGCTTAAAGGTTCACAAGGGGCAGAATCTGCCGCAAAAGAAGAACATTATCTCAGCGCACATGGGATCTGTGCTGGATCTCCACTCTCGTCATGGCATGGGCTTGCTGAGGCTCAATGTCTTGAGCCAAGTTAACAAGAGCTGCGAAAGCATGCGAAAGTAAAAGTCCACGACATGTTCCCACAAACCCGCAGACTGCACTGATCTCCGACACAATTCTATATCAGTTGCAGCTTGCTGACAAAACTCTGGGTCTGGCAAAGTCTAGCACGGAAAAATCGCAAGGAGGCACATGGGGCACCTAGGTCATTCCCACCTTGTCCTGTGAACTGACTTGCCACGCTGCAAAAGGCAAAGCAGAGCACATGCAACCTTTTGGGGTTCACCATTTCCTGCCCAGTGTTGCAATGGGACTCCACCTCACATAGCAGATGGATGGCATAGGCATAGGTGCAGCGCGGACCTTCCGACAAGCAGCGAAACCCGGAAGCCCCAACCAAAAACCGAGTAAACCATTTCCACCCAGCCCTTGAAGCCCAAACCCAACACGCGCCATGAGTCCTACGTTTGTGGCTGTCTGACGACAAGGCTTTGAGCTCTCCGCTGGTGCAGACATTGCGAACCACAACTCGGCGCAGCGAATCCGATATTACAGTGCAGCCCTTCTGCGGCCCAGAATTTCTTTCAACCCTAAACCCTAAACCCTAAATTCTAAACCCAGCAGTCGAAGCGGGGCACAAGTCGTCCTATTTCTTTCGGCTAATATAGGGCGCAGCGTCCCTGCAGCCCCGCCGCCCCACCCTTGTTCCGGCCCACCCCCCTAGGGTTTGGGGTTTGGGTTTTAAGGGTTTGGGGCTTAGGGCTTATGGGGGTTTAGGGTTTGCAAGGCTTTGTGGCTTGTCCATCTCTTGCCTGCAATAGTCGGGTCGCATTCAGTGTGTCCTGTGTGCCGTCCTGGGTGGAGGTGCTGCTTTCTGCTCCCTTGTATCTATATATATATATATACGTATATATACATATACATATACATATTACATATCGAATTGTATTGTCGCATATGAACGTGTGTATATATATATATATACATGTATAATATAAGTATGCATATATGATATATATATATATATATATGTGATATATGACCTATACATACATATATATATATATATATGATTATATGATATATGTATATTATACATATATATATATATACGTAGATATATACACATACATGTATTGCTGTCCTGGCCGTTGTTCTGACATGTCAGCGCGTCCGTGGATCGTCTTGTCCCAACAGGCGGGGATTCTTCTACCAAATTGGGGAGCTCGGCTGTTCCGGCTTATGAGAGACAGTGTGGCTTAGCGATAGCTTGCAGGACGGCATGAAGGGTTTAGTGTTAAGGGCTTGGGGGTGCCTATAGGTTGACCTACAGGACAGTAGCAGCTCACATACAGAGTGCAGATATGCGCAGATGAAAAGAAAGAACGCCGTGGCCTCGAGCGAGACTGCTGGGTCGAAGCCCTGTGGAGTCTGGAACTTGAAACCTTGGAGGTTCAAGAGTTTGGGTGAGGATGTTTATACGGGGTGAGAAAGAGTCTTGGGGAAGTTGCATAAACACAGATCATACTGCACTCCACGCTGCAACATACTGCAACTTTAGTATGTAGCTGCATGCGACCCGGCGCACAAAGAAAGAGGGTAAGGTTCCACGGTGCATGCAAGCCGGCGTGCGACAATGCCCGCTTCAAACGGCGTGCAGCTTCGAAGGCTTAGAACAGTGCACTGTAGCGGGTTCTTCAACTCCTGGCCCCCCAAGACGAAGAATCCCATCTTGCTGTGGCGCAGACCGTGCAGTTTGAATGGCTACTCCTCTCAGTCTCCCAACGTGGAAGTTCGGACACCTGGGAGCGAGTCTTCACCGTCTGGTAGACTTCACCATCTGCACTGCTGGGCACTGTTCGCCGTTATCACTCCGTTTACCTTAGAAAAAGTCCAGACAGGTGCAGCAAGGCCATCTGTGACAGCATCCCTGAAAGCCTGCTCAAGCTGAGCCCGCGGCAGTTCGTTAGTCTGCGCAAAGACGGGCTGCGCCGACCACAGCCGACAAAACCCTCTGGCGGAGTAATGGTGGAAACGGGCTCCCGGAGGAGTGCAAAAGGCCATCGTTACCATTAGCGACTTCCGGTCCACCACATCCACCGAAGGGGCCAGTCGGCCCGGCCCTGTGCGACTCTTGAAAAGAGGCTCGTCCTAAATGAATCACAAACAGGACGCTCCCTCGCTACTCCCGGCTTTGCCCTCTTATGTCTTTCGTATGTGATGCTGCTCTCCATGTGTCCGACCGCGAGGAGCTCGCGAGAGCCAGAGTCACATCATGAGCCATGAGCAATGGAGCAAAGTAAAGATATGCGGCTATGTCGCTTGTTCGGAAGGGATGTGTTCACCCCCTCAGAGCAGAGCTGCAAGCGCCCGCAGAAGAAGCTATGATTTATGACCTACGGTGAACTCGCTCAGTACTTCACCTGCAGCCTCCCACGAGGCCTCTGCGAGACGTCTCTCAGCTCTTTCCGTTGCTCCTAGGACACTTTGCTCTTAGGACTCTGAAACATTCTTGGCGTGTTGATAGTCGGATAGGAACAAAAAGGAAGCCTTGCAAAGAAGGCATCCTCGGGAACGAGAGACGAAGCCGCCTTGCAAAGAAGGCTGCCTCGTCTCAGAGCAGCCTCTTGGGCCAAGCTCAAACGATTCGTTGATGGCGGGGCTCCGTTGCTGGATACCGTTTGGGAACTTGTAGCATCCGAGAGCCGAATTTCCGTCGGAACTCAATGCAGGCCGACACTGTGGCGTCACTGTGGCTCGCTCCGCGGACTTAAGAGTATGACTCAGTCTGACTCAGTATGACGCAGTATGACTCAGCATGACTCAGTCTGACTCAGTCTGACACCTGCATTTTGTACCTCGCCACGTCTTGTGGCAGGGCCAGGTTGGCAGAGGCTTCTCTCAGCGGGGACGGGTCGCTCCTCCTCAGGTAGAAACATTAGGCTGCCGATGGATTGGAAAAGACAAGGACTCAAGAGATAACTTAAAGGCGAATGGACATAAGCAGGGTTAAAGAGTGCAGGGAAGGAATGCTGGCACAAACTTGTAGCAGCGACGTAACAATTCACGCACGCCCCTCCCAGCTTGAAGGGCATTGGAACTCGTTGAAATTGACAGCAAGTCCAAACTTGCCATGCCGCACCATCCCAGGTCAATGTAGGACTTCAGCTGACTATTGTGACTATTGATTGGTACTGTGGATGGAATCCCGCTGCGCAATGCAAGGCGCTGAAAGGCCTCGAGAGGAGCTCTGGCGAGCATGGGGGACTGCCTTCTATGGCAATGTCATTTCAATCCTTGGCTACATTCTACCAATATTCTACCAATATTCTGCCATATTCTACCAATATTCCACCATATTCTACGTGCCATGACTCGGCTGTCGCCGACGGTCCCCCAGCGTTTCACCATATCCATCCGAGCCCTGGGAGCGTTGAGCTCGGCAGGGCGCAGGGGCTCATCGACCCCGAATCCAACAGCTCCAGAAGCCTTCGCTTCTGCGGCGGGCGCTTCGATTCTTCGGCAAATTTTCGGGGTGCCAAGCAGGTACATGAAACCGTGTAGAGTCGACAGTGCTTGATTTCGAGGGCAGAAGCATCTGCGCCGCAGGTCTGGCTTGAAGCTTGGAGACTACGTTCTGTTCTGTCCACGGTCAAGGAGCTGTTCCCTAATCCAACTCGAAGGTGCATGCTAGCATATGCTAGAAAAATGCTAGGAATACATGCAGATCCACCAGCTCTTTGTCCAGCGCTTGGCTTCGCTGTCGACAAAACTGGGCATGGTCGCTTGCTGAACGGCCTTTCTGTTCAAAGGCAAGCTTTAGGCCCCCAAACTCTCGAAGGGCAACTAAACTAGATGTGACAAGCTCACAAACAACACGGCACATGAGTCAAATATGCGACACAACTCTGGTTCACCACAAGGCACTGGGGCAGTGCCTCTGTCAATGGGGTCCAAACCCAGAACGTCAGGGAACAGCCTGCTACGCAGGTTGCGAAACCATCAAGCCTGAGCAGAAGCTCGGAGTTGTGGCTTCGGTTAGGTCTAATGACTGAAACCCATCCAGCATCTTTGCATTTGAGGTGCCCCTGCATCCATCCTCCTACTCTTTCCCCTGGCACAATTTAGGTTTCACTGCCCAGTGCGTGCCCACCTCTCGGCCAAAAAGTAGCAGCATCCTAGGCAAGGCATCACCAGACCACTAGCTGGAAAATCTCAGCTCTCTGCACTGCCCTTGCAACACTGACTGCCCTTACTGCACATGCTGACACCCGAACAGATTCTGTACAGATGCACCTGGTTTTCAGCTGTGCGGCCGGATCGATCTGGAAGCTCGAAGATGCAGCAGTTGAGGCGTTCGATTTCGGCGTATCTTGACGCCTGGGTTCGGACGGAAGAGAGCTCTCTGCACCGCAAGGAATCGAACTCTCAGCAGCCTCGGCTTAAAGCCTGTGACACTAAACAGCCCTAAGCCCTACACGACAGAGAACCCCGCGCGCACGCACACGCGCACGCACACGCACACGCACACGCGCACATGCGCACATGCGCACATGCGCACACACGCACTCACGCCCCAGGCGCACACCCGCACACACGCACGCGCGCAAACGCGCACACGCGCACACACGCTCACACGCTCACACGCGCACACGCGCGCACACGCGCGCACACGCACACATGCACACACGAGCACATGCACACAGACACACAGACACACAGCAGACACACAGACACACAGACACACAGACACACAGACACACAGACACGCAGACACGCAGACACGCAGACACGCAGACACGCAGACACGCAGACACGCAGACACGCAGACACGCAGACA